CAGAGGCACCACAGCATGCAGGGGAGCCCCAATAACCCAGTCAGAGAAAGGGACATCCTGCCCCAGGCTCTTCCAGGGCTGTCCCAGGAGAGCCATCAGTCCCATGGGCTGGAGTGAAACCCACCCCATGTGTCAATGGGAAAGGCTCCCCCCAGATCACCTCACAGACTGAGGGGGGTTACTGCCTAGGGGTATGGGACGCATCATGGGATGCAGGGAAGAGCATTTGGGGATTGCACAAGACTTATCATGGGATGCTTAGGGGAGGAACCAAAGGTGGGGAAAGAGGGATCAAGGAGATTTGGGGAAGAACAAGTGTGGGAAAACAGAGGGAGAAGAGGGTAAAAAGGGCCCATCATGTGTAAACAGGCTGCTGGTCAGTACACTTGTCTGGCCATACCCGATCAGCACAATCTGGCCTGTTGTCTCATTAAACTCCATTTCTAACTATTTTCCTGGGTGAGGGGCTCTCTATTCTGTGTGCAAGTGCGTGTATGGAGAGCTAAGTGCCAGTAACTGGAGTCGAACCACAGGTCACAGGGGCCTGTGCATATAGGGTGCCAGCAACTGGAGAGACCAGAGCACGTGCATATTGTGCAGGTACGCACGTTAGTGTGTGATCGCTAGCACATATCAATCTGGACTGGCTGGCGAGTAGGATAAGAGGCTGGGGAGCCAGAAATTGAAGTGGCTTTAAGTCTGGGCCAGATACTGGAGAGAGCAGAGAGTCTGCGAGTTGGCTACTGGGGGGACCAGGGGGCCCAAGCCAACTACTGGAGAGACCATGGGGTCTGGAGGTCAGCTACTGATAAGGCCATACTGATAAGGTCTGGACCAGTTACCAGAGACTCATTTGCATGTGTGTGTATCTGTGTGAGGCAACTGGGAGAACAGGGGATCCAGGGCCAGCTACTGAGTAGACTGAGTGTCTAAGGCCAGCTACTGGAGGGATCCATAGCACATGTGTCCATGTGTGTCTGTGTGTGCAAGGGGGTCTGTACCAGCAACTGGAGTGGGGCTGTGGGCCTCAGGGGCTCATATGTCCAGGTGCCAGCAACTGGGGAGACTGGGGATCCAGGGGGAAGCAACAGACTGAGTATCTAAGCCCAACTACTGGAGGGAACAACATTGTATATATGTATATGTTTCCCACTAACAGGCTTTCATCCTGATCAGCCAGAGAGGGGAACAGGACAAGGCTGTTGGTGATGGTTGCATTTGCAAGTGCTATGTTTTCTGTCTGTGATGATCTTTGTGAATGGCTATGTATATGGGTAGTGTGTGTATGTGTGCCTATTGGGAATACATGCTCAGCCTCACTATTGGCTGGACCTGGGGACACAGAGCTGTGGCAGCCTCACCTCTGTCAGGCTACAGGATTCAGCAACCCCTAACACTTATATCAATCATTTTTCATATACTTCTGCATACTTTGGGTTCTTTTAAATTCTGTATGCGTTATATTATTCTCTGCAAGTTAGTCAAGTATCCAATACAGAATGAAGGTGTTTTACTGGTTAGTTTGTCAATTTTAAAAGTGAGAACCACACTTTGGCACAAATACACCTATCTCACAAATAACTGCATGCACCAAAGGATATTTTGTCTACTTTAGTCACACACACACAGGTGTACCACAACAAATGAACTGGCAGCCTGGAGAAGAACAAGGCTGTTCAAGCTGACAGTGCTGCTAAAAGAAATACTTGTGCAGTTACAGTCCTAGTCCCATTTCCAGAATCAGGGTAGAGAAGGGGAAGTAATTTTACTCTAGCTATACTGGTCAACTTTGGGTCAGCTATCTGGACACTTTATGGTCATGGTACAATTTTCAAAAGAAGCCTTAAAGTATCTCAAAGGCCTAACTTCTACTCTGGTACACAGAACTTCTTCAAGATGCTCCTAAACTCTCGCTAAGACCTCTGTGGGATGTTATTTGTTTCTATTACTGACATAACATCCAGCTCCTGAAGAACGCACAAGGTGAAGCCAGGTGTAGAAGTTACACATATTGTATGGAGCATTCAACTGTTCTACTGCAGAATTCCAGGTGCTTCCTCTCTTGAGAGATTCCTGAACTGCACAAGAGAGAAAAAGCTGAAGACAGCTGAAGAATGTAAATCCAGATTGCCTATTGAGTTTCTGGTATTCACCAGAATGCTGGCATCTTGGGCAGTCACTGACCCCATAAACAAGGAAATGCCAATTGTAAATGTCTAATATGGCTAACAGCTAAAATAATTTGATGCTTCAAGGTTCATGTGCATAAAATTTAAGTACTGAATGTACCAACCTCTCAAAGACGATGATTTCAGCAGTCAAATACTAGTGGGGTCCTGGACCATGGCTCCCCTCCACGCTGTCTTTGTGTTATCAAAAGTTTTAGTGATGTGTTTTTTCATACTGAAGAGGATAACCAGTGTCATGTCCTTATCAATTGGACATGACAATCATTGTTTTAATAACTGAGATTGAGCCATATGTGAAAAAGGCAACTTGAAGAAGTTGCCATTTCAGAAAGATTTTAAAAGTTTTTTAAAATTAAAAAAGGTTCATTTTTATTTTAATTTGAAAACTTCTCTATATGCTTATAGCAACCACCACAACAATTCCAAGTGATACCAACAATAATCACCAAAAAGTTTTAACTGATATCTTGCTCCTGTAAGCAGTAATTGCATATTTATGTGGGTAGAACATCTGTGAAATTGAAGTTATCATAAATTCCACAACTTTACTTCATAATCAAATAAAAGATGAGAATTAGTAAGAAAATGTTTCTCAAAAAGAAAATTTCAGACATAGCTATTTCCTTATAGCAAAGGAAACTGATTGTGTAAACACACATGTAAATTTAAGCATATGACAACCACCACTGAAGTCAGATTACTTACATGCTTTAAATTACATATTTTTAAATTCCTTAATGAGATGGAGCCTGTGTAAATTAATCTGAGAATAATTTTTAAATCGACATGGAAGATTAAACAAATATTTAAACCTTTTAAGAGATAACAATTAAAAAATATATTCATGAAAAAAGCCACCCCAGGAAAGAGCAATATGGAAACACAATAGTTCCAAACAGACCTCAGAAAAGAATCTTACAAGATCTAACATGTAGGTTTAATTACAAAAAATGGCTGCTAGAATGGTCTTGTAGCACTCCAATTTTGTTCTCTAGCAAGGCCTATTCTATTGAAGTGTGCACAGTTTACAAGTTAAGATTTGTATAACTGCTAGCACTGCAGTTCAAACTGATCTATTAAAAACAAAAAAAGCTATGTTTCATCCAATATGTGCATCATCTTAAGTAATAATGATAGAATCAAAGTGTAGCTGCAGTTTTGCTAGTGATACATGAAGTGGAATAACTCACTGTTCTGCAGGTCTAAACGTAGCAAGAGTATGCTTTTTAATCAATGGAGAGAAGTCTAGGGGAAAAAAAAAACCTCGCTTATAAAAAAAAAAAAACAATTACCTTATGCAGTTGGTGTATGCCCTCCTGTGGGTAATCAGTGGGCCCCATCGTTGGCATTGGATGTGGGACACTGGGTGGTCCAGGACTCGGCCCCATCATGCTGTGTACTGAGCCAGGAGATGGCCCTGGTCCTGGGCTAGGTCCAAGAATTGGTCCAGGTGAAGGACCTGGCCCTGGGGAAGGACCAGGATGAGGCATTGTGCCAGGGTCCATTGACGTGGACATCTATTTTCTGTCTCCTTTTCAATTGACAGAATAGCTCTAATGAAAAATAAATAAATAAATAAACAGAATTTCCATGTGACATTAGGGTCAGTGGAATATAGTCAGGAAAGAAAACTATACTGGAGAAAATCTGTTGACAAGCATCACATACACACACATATACATGCAAGTTGTCATCAGCAGAAAATGCTTAAATGATCTTTAGTGTGGCGCATCAGTTTACCCATCCATCAAAAAGCCCACTAGAAGAATAAAGGAACCTGACAGTTCAGCCTGTTTTGGGATGTTTATGCATCATCCACAGAACAAAATACCTAGTAGGCTAAAGGAAACATCTACTAGAGAATGAGTTGAACTTCACAGAATGACAGATTAGTTGAGGTTGAAAGGGACCTCTGCAGGTCATCTAGTCCAACCCTCCTTACTTGTTATCATCAAGTTCTATCACATGGAGTCAAGCAGGGGACAAACGAGCATTAGGCATCTCATTCAAATGTGTGTTTGGAAATCTCTTCCTAAATCCCTCAGATGCAATTGGAATGAAGTTCTTATAAAATTCAGGATAATACAAGAAAACAAGTATTAAAATGATCAAGACTGTTATATGACAGGTTTTTTTGTATTTAAATATTTAATTAAGGACATTTCCAATTAGCTCCGCATGCAATCAAAATATCAAGTGAAACACACAAAAGACAACAGATTGCTTTGGAGTGAACACAGTTATAATTCACTTGAGGGGTTCTCCTGATGTCACAAGCCATGAGAACACAGCTCAAGTGGCTTATAAAATGGTAAGAGCCCAAAAAATGAATTATAGGCCTTCAACTTGCTGGAGAACCAACTACTATTTTTTATTTCTGTGTACATAACAGAACAAATTGAGGCAGACTACAAGTTTGATTCAATATTCCAGCTTTCTGAAAACTCTTATCAGTGTCTAACAGTTGGAATTTCTAGTCTACTAATACCAGTGTATTGTAATACAGAGACACAGATGCCATCCTTTTACAAAACTGCTGGTCAGTTGCTGCTAACAAGATCAGTCCTGTTTCTTGGTACTCCCTCCTCCCTCCCAGCGATACCAACTCCACGTCTGATCACACAGTGATCAGACATGTGGAGTTATTTGAGGAGCTAAACCAGCAGAAAACTAACCCTATAAAAACTAATTTTCTGCTCATTTAGGTTGCTGAGCTGACTTGCTGTGGGGTCAGATGAGCATCAGTGCCAGCACAAGGGAGCAGTTAGTAACACCCCTTTTAGCAGCAACTGGCCATTAGACAGGCTTACCTTATTTGCTTCTTTCACTTGACTTTGTAGTTTTATATTAAGGCTACCTGCCCATGGTCATGTACCCCATAATAATAAATGTAATGCAATGAAAAACAAAGCTTTTTACTTTGCCATATTTTGATGGTACATTCTAAGACCTAGCAGGTCTCCCTGACCCATCCTCTCTCCTTGTAGAACTTATAGCAGAAGAACAAGCATTCCACCTCCAATATCTGGATCCATCACAATCCACAGTTGGCAACAAATGACTCTAGTCATTTTCTGATGTAAGCAGTCTGAACCCCATCACTAAACAACTGTTATAAACCCACATTGTAATTGGCATCCTGGCTAGCAGAAGTCAAGTATGGAACAGACATGAACACCACCCTCCCAGGATTCCCACCAAAGCAGAGGAGGCCCATTGAGAAGACATGATGGAAGAGAGTAGGATGGTAGCTACTGCTGGCTGCCCCTTGTTGCTTGCAAACAAGGAATTCCAAGTTTACAGACCTGACAATCTTGTTCCTTTCACAATTGAAAGAGCATTTACCTAACAGAACCAATATATCAAGCAAAATGTTACTGTATCAAGACCTTATTTGGGTATTTCGCCCCCCCCAATCAACTACATGTTCTATCAGGATCAAAAAGTATTTACTAGCTTTTATTTATAAATTTCCTTTTGTTATGTTTAATTAGCTATGTTTCTATTCTGATTCAAGGCAACAAATTAGAACAAGGTCTGTTGAACTCACTTGAAATAAACTACCTTGAGATCCTATTTCCTTACAGGGTAAGACATGCTGATACCTCTGAAGCTTTTCTATTAAAAAAGATCACAACAGAACACCACAGGGGCTAATTAGTGCCCACAGTCCCACAGAACCACCACAACAGGAATCCTGTTTTTAAATAATCACAATTGCACACATCGTTATGGCTTCTTAGAAGGGGCCTGCAATTTGCCTGTATGAGGGACAAGAGACATTTCCACAGAGCAAAAGGAACTTTTATAAGTAAGAAATAATCGCTATACTGAAAAATACAGCAGCTGGTTGATATTCAAGGATCACCTCCTCCAAACTCAAGATTGGTCCATACCAACAAGCAGGAAAACAAACAAAGGAGGCAGGAGACCTGCATGGATGAACAAGGAGCCCTCGACTAAACTCAAACATAAGGAAGCATACAAGAGGTAGAATCAAGGACAGGCGACACAGGAGGAATATAGAGATGTTGTCCGAGCATGCAGGAATGGGGTCAGAAAAGCCAAAGTCCACCTGGAGTTGAGTCTGGTGAGGGACGCAAAGGGCTCCAAGAAGGGCTTCTACAGGTACATCAGCAGCAGAAGGAAGACTAGGGAAAATGTGGGCGGGGGGTGCTAGTGAAAGGGGACATGAAAAAGGCTGAGGTACTCGAAGCCTTCTTTGCTGCAGTCTTTACTGTTAAGGCTTACCTTCAAGAATCTCAGGCCCTGGAGACCAGTGGGAAAGTCTGGAGCAAGGAAGACTTATCCTCAGTGGAAGAGGATCAGCTTAGGGAACACTTAAACAAACTGGACAGACACAAGTCCATAGGCCCTGATGGGAAGCACCCACGAGTGCTGAGGGAGTTGACTGATGTCACTGCAAGGCCACTCTCAGTCATCTGTAAAAGGTCCTGGCGATCAAGGGAGATTCCCAAGGACTGGAATAAAGCAAATGTCATTCCTCTCTTCCAAAAAGGGCAAGAAGGAGGATCCAGGGAACTACAGGCCAGTCAGTCTCATCTTGATCCCTCAGAAGGTGATGGAGCAGCTCCTCCTGGATATTATTTCCAAGCACATGAAGGACAAGAAGGTGATGAGGAGCAGTCAGCATGGATTAACAAAGGGGAAGTCATGCTTAACCAACCTTCTTGATGTCAAGGACAACAAGAAGGGCTTCTTCAAATACATCAGTAGCAAAGGGAAGACTAGGGAAAAAGTGGGCCCGCTGCTGAATGGGGTGGTTGCCCTGGTGACAAAGGATACAGAGAAGGCAGAGTTGCTGAATGCCGCCTTTGCTTCAGTCTTTCCTGCTAAGGCCAGCCCTCAGGAATTCCAGACCCTGGAGACAAGAGAGAGAGTCTGGAGAAAGGAAGACTCTCCCTTGGTGGAGGAGGATCAGGTTAGAGATCATTTTGGCCAACTTGACACCGACAAGTCCATGGGCCCCGATGGGATGCACCCACAAGTGCTGAGGGAGCTGGCGGATGTTCTTGCTAGGCCACTCTCCATCCTCTTTGAAAGGACATGGAGAACAGGAGAGGTGCCTGAGGACTGGAAGGAAGCCAATGTCACTCCAGTCTTCAAAAAGGGCAAGGAGGACACCCAGGGAACTACAGGGCAGTCAGCCTCACCTCCATCCCTGGAAATGTGATGGAACAGCTCATCCTGTAGGCCATCTCCGATAACATCCTCAGAGGTAAACTCAGGAAGTGTGGGCTGGATGAGTGGACAGTGAGGTGGATTGAGAACTGGCTGGATGGCAGAGCTCAGAGGGTTGTGGTCAGTGGCGCAGAGTCTAGTTGGAGGCCTGTAGCTAGTGGTGACCCCCAGGGGTCAGTCCTGGGTCCAGTCTTGTTCAATGTATTCCTCAATGACCTGGATGAAGGGACAGAGTGCACCCTCAGCAAGTTTGCTGATGATACTAAACTGGGAGGAGTGGCTGACACACCAGAAGGCTGTGCTGCCCTTCAGAGGGACCTGGAGAGGCTGGAGAGCTGGGCAGAGAGGAACCTCATGCAGTTCAACAAAGGCAAGTGCAGGGTCCTGCACCTGGGGAGGAATAACCCCAGGCACCAGTACAGGCTGAGGGCTGACCT